TCTGAAAAAGATCCAAGAATTTTTTAGCATCAATGTGAAAAGTGGAGCAAATGTACAATGTAGATATCATATTTTGTGAAGCAAAAACATCCAAGGGGCTTCACTATTTGTATTTACAACTATTGTAATTATATGAAACATGGAGATGCTGTCAAATTGTTGCATTGCATTACCTTAGTGTACTTTACATTCTCTGTATGTCAAGTATCCCTCAAACTATGAACATAAAAAGGAACAGGTTTTTAGAATACAATAAACCTCTGACTTAAATAAATATCCCGTACTGGAAGGCTAAGGAAGACTGCAAAGTGAATCTAAAGGTCAAAAGTTTAGAAGAATGGTCTGCTAGTGCAAGACAATCTATATTAGTAAAAACCACAAAAAATTTACTAGATAATTTTTTATATAAATTAAAATGAATGTCCATGCGAAGTCTTGCTCTATGCCAAGCCAGCACTTTAAAATCCCCACACCATCTATTGTGTTGTTTATAATACATACAGTAATATATGTGGGTGGATATGGAGGTAGAGCCCTGCATTAAGCTTTTAGTTTGCCTCACATAAAATTTATCCTAACATATTTTAAGAGTGTACTTAAAAAAACAATATTATTTTTGTTGGAAATAATTAACAGGGTTTCCTACATACTACAAATGTTGATACGTACAGTATATAAAACAGAGCTGTTTACTTTTTTATATTGCATGACTAAGAATTTATAAAAAAATGCCCACCCACACTCCATGTGCCATGTACCAACAAGTGTTCAATGCCCCAAAACATTTTCCCCAGATCATGGCATGAGAGGACAAGAACCAAAGGGCAAATGATAACAACATACAAAATACTCAGAGGAACTGATAAGGTAGGCAAGGATGGGCTGTTGAGAGGCACAAATCAGGAACTCAGTAAACACCACTGGAAGTTAAAGGCACAAGGTGGGGCCCCAGGGATGTTTGGAAATAAATTTTTTGAATTTCTGAGTGGTCAGGAAGTGGAATGACCTTGGTGAGGAAGTGTTAGAGGCAAGCTCCATACATAAGTTTTTAAAAGCATGTACAACAGGGCCCCCTAGGCTCAAAGGAATGAATTGAAGAGTGGCAAGTTAAGAGGCAGGGCCAGGATCTGAAATTCACTCCTGCTGCCACAAATGGATGAGTACATGCATTTTTTTTGACCAACGCTCAGCGAGTCACAAAATATTACAGTGTTTATCAGTACTTTGTAAAGTAGGACATTAAGACTTTATAATCGATGACGCCCTTTAAAAATGACTCTCAATCTTTGAACAAATGCTTGCTTTTTTTTTTTAGAGAAACCCACGGACAAGCCCTTTAGATAAAAAATATGATTGAATGAAGTGATATTGGTAATACCTACAAGTTGTAAGTAAAAGACATGTACATATATAATGATCAAGTGGCTTGTTCAGTCCTTAGGACTGAACAAGCCACTTATGGCATAACATTTCCTCAAAGTTTCGATCAGTACACTATGCATCATTAGTCTAATTTAGCGTGATGCACTGTAATGTAATACTGTATACTCTTTACGTCCAACACCAGTATATGCTATTAATGGGAACACGTGAGCCAATGATAAAACATGAGAAAAAAAGACGGTCAGTTTTATCACAAAATCATTAGAGACAAGAAAACTGGCAAAGAAATAAAATCACATTCTAAAAATCTGCCTCTTGCTTGTAGGTCTAACAGAATGTTTCAAAATTCCCTTATGAAAGTTTTGTTTTAAGGTTTCTTAAAGATTCCTGAATGAGTTTGAGAAAACACAGATATGTGGAGTACTTTATCCTAAGTTTATATTCATTATTTTCTTCAGTTCCAAGTAACAAATTTGGCAAGAAGCAAAACTACTTCAAAGGAAGCAAAAATTTTGTCTATGCAATAATTTCTCAAAATCATTCTGAACCTAACAAAAAAAAATATTTCATTGTGTTTATTATTAAATTATTGTAAACTTATCTAAAGTATATTTAGTGGATTAGGTTTAATGACCACACCCACTATTAACATGCTCTTCAAAAAAAAAAAAAAAAAAAAAAAAAAAAAAAAAAAAAAAAACACTGGTTATGAAAAATATCAGATCTTTAAGTAGCCCCTCAATAATTATGTAAATAACTAAAAACTTCGGTGTTTATTTATCCGTGTGTACTGTCATATAAACACAAAGTCAAGTTGCCATTGTGCTACAAAAATGAGTACAGTGCACTACTGGCTTCTCAACTTCAAATGGCAGATTCTAACATAAAACAACATTACTTACCACAAAAGCTCAGGGTTGTTTTATTGTCATAGCCAGAAATTAACAATGATCAGGACATTATCAAACAAAAACAATTCGGAGGTAAAAAGGTTAGCATAAAATGTATTTTCTTACATAGAATAGATGTAGGTATAGCAAAAAACACTGCAAAGTGAGCCTTTATTTCATGTTTTTATTCAAGTGTGACCAAAATCAAGTCATTAAAGGAACATACAATTTGAGTTAGAGGGGTGGAGTGTTGGGGAGGTTAAGAGAAATGATGGGAGATGTGGTTACATATAGGTGCAAGCATATTAGGTGAAAATATTTTTCTGAGAACATGTTATTCATTGCAGTTGGGAATGCTTAAAAGTAAACTGATTGTGTTCAAGTGCTCTCTGCTTTTGAAATAGTTATCATTACAGGTGAAAACTAACACTGAAACGTGACTTGTGGTTTGTTAACACTGAAAGAAATGTAGGTGCATTCACTACTGAATGACCCTCTTACAGAATTTAACAGAATAATACCTGACTTAATTTTGTTACACTCACCCCCCCCCCATCCCAGCAGCTCCCAAAAAACATCACCTAACACCTCTCTTAACCTACCCTTTCTCTAATTGGGATGGGGTTTAAAAAATGGAATTTGTATGTTCCTCTATCACATTTGATAAGGTTCACACCTGGAGAGTATACCTGGAAAAGTATACCTGAGCAAAATATGCAATAAAGCTTTTCCTTATAAAGACCCTTAACAGTTTGCCTAGACAATAAAACAAAATTTTTCAGAATGAATTTAAAAATAATTTTAAAGCAAAATTGAGAAAACCCCCAGTTGGATATTGTGTCATAGCATCAATAATGAGTACAAATGATAGCAGTTAACTACAGTACTAATACTTGAAAAAGACATTGTATTCCCTTCCTTTCATCAATCAAAAAACATCAATTTTGAAAATTAGTATAATAATTTAAAGAAGGGGGTGAACTTCTTTTACTTTAAATGTTTACTTCTTAGCATTACATAATTTCTAACTTTTCCACATCTCTCTCACAACTCTAAAAATATTTCTCGACTATATTTCTGTAGAAAATGGTTTAAAATAAGGTGCATAAACTTTAGAAAACTTTCACATCACTTTTCATTTTCAGAAGAGAAATGGTAAAAATATGGTATGTTTAAATCATTCTAGTACCATCCATCTTGTGTTAGGTTTGTGCTCTTAAGGACACTTCAGCAAAATTTTAAATTTTCTCTTTTTGAAATGGTACTGTATAAATGCCAAAAGTCCATCTCATTCACTTCCATATTTTGTTTTTATTATTATTATAATTAAAAAAGAAGCGCTAAGCCACAAGGCTATATAGCGTTGCAGGGTAGGGAAGGAAGCAAGGGTATTGGATGGCAGAGGGAGGAGGGATGATCAGTAGGTTACAGAAAAACACCGGGGGCAGGGGATAGTACGGGGGTAGAGGGTGCAAGAGATTGAAGTAGAAAGGGCTGAAGGTATCAGAATTTGTGAAGTAAGTCAGTTGTTGTCAAAAAGTCAATGAGAGAGTCTGGATGAAAGGTGGGTCCATCAGCGAGAAGGGAAGGTAAAGAGAGAGCAGCAGAGCGAAGCGACGACGGAGGTAAATTCTGCGTGCTCGTTGATAAGTGGGCAGTCCAACAGAATGTGCTGACTGATAATGGAAAATTGGCAATTCTCACAGAGAGGAGCAGGGCACCTCTCCATGAGATATCCATGAGTAAGACGAGTATGGCCAATGCGAAGACGGGAGAGAGTAGTCTCCCAACCTTCGACACTGGTGATAAGAAGACGGCCAGTAACCTATACTCGGTTTAATAGATTGAAGTTTGTTGCCGAGCATAGTAGACCAACGTTGTTGCCAACGGGTGTGAAGTTGGGAAGATATTGCAAACAAAATAGTCCATAAATGGAATACCTCTTCATGAAACTGGTAGGTCATGTACTGCTGACCCGCGCAGTGTTGCCTGTTCATTGCCCTGTACGTCAACATGACCAGGGACCCAAACAAAATACAATATCTTTATGCTTGGTAAAGATGCGGCGTAGCCAAAGTTGGATACGGAGGACTAAGGGGTGAGGTTTTATCAAATTTCTGTATAGCCTGTAAAGCACTTTGGGAGTTGAGCAACCAAATGTGACCAGGCATAGATGCAATACGGATAAATGCTTAAGGTTTGGATACAATTCAGCAG